ATTATCATAGGAGAGATCAACACTAAGATGTTGAAATTTGATTAAAAGCATCACCTCTGAAGTATGTCTGTGCAGAAAAAGCTCAGGAGTATGAAGGGTGTCGGGCAATTCAGTGACAGAAAGACAATAGTTAGAGGAAAGGACCCTCTGAGGTTCTCCTAAATTAGAACCAGGAGATGTCAGTGAATGAGCCCTCTGTGCTCCTTTGTTATGAGGCACAGACACACACACGCACGCAGGCAGGCAGGAACAAACACACGCACGCACACAACCACACACACACACACGGTCATCTCTCCTGTGGATAAAACATTTGGTCAGATTGTGTAATCAGTCTAAATGAGCTGTGCGCTGGCAGTGCAGCAGCTCTCTGGCTGCAGTTTCACTCTGCCTCCATGAGAACGTATCAGGCTCTGTTGTAACCAGGCATGGGGGGGGGGGGGGGGGGGGGGGTCTTCTGAGGGTAACCTCCAGGAGGCAGTCCCCTCCTTCCCACAGTTTTGTTTACTTTATGCTTCCCTTTTACCCAACCAGAGAGTCTTGTGAAGAAAACCAACTCTTCTCCATGTGAGCAAGAACAAACAAGTAAAACCTACAGCGTCTTTAACTGGTCAGAAGCACAATGATATGTCAACACTTATACGAGGAACTAATGCACACTCTATAGCATTTCCTATGCAAGTCATTTCTTTGATTAGCAGTATGTAAACCCATGAAACAAAGTAACAAGACGGATTCGGTTTTGAAGGCTGCTCCAGGAAGAGGATGAAAGTTTGGCACAGCTGAAACAAGAAGGTATAAAGTCAGCTCCACTGAGGCAATTTTCGATTATTCATAAGTTAGTCTGTGAACATGTCACGAGAAGCAGAGGTGACTGAATATATGTAAGCCATTGCAGACAAAAAAAACATTTCAGTTTAGATGGACTTCAAAAATGCTTCTGAAAGTTTTAGCCAGGCTACCAGGTAGCTCCGTGAATAGCAGTGATGATTGGCTCGTACTGCAGGAATTTTTTTATGTAGCACCACCATTTTTGTTCTTGAATGAAATTGCTCAACTATTTTGGATGGATTTGATTCCATTAGGATCTATCATAGATGCAACTACAGGGGGAGCCTTTGAATGGGGCTCTACCAGACCCTGATTCCAGATTTTTCTAGGTCAGGTCAGCACCGGCATTATTTTCACTATTTTCTCATACGCTAAGATACATCTGCCATTGACTGAAAACTGATCGCAGTTTCAAAGAGTTGATGGTTTTCCTTTTGCCTCATCGATGATGTAAGACCTTGTTTCAAGCTCTCCAGGGGAAGTCCCTCACACACACACACATTTCTGTGTCCCGGGAAAAAAAACTCAAAAATGTATCTTCATTAAAACAATCTGGGGAGAGCTGCTGTCTGTGTAACCCACTTTTAGCTGCTGGCACATTATACTTGAGGATCAGTGTTTTGAATAAGCCAGGGTGGTGTTGTCTGCCTTATTGATGGGTCATATAAGGTTCTATCCAGGTATAGGCCTCAACTGCCCCCCCCAGCAGTGACAACTAGAGAAGAAGAGGTGTTGACATGGTGCAAATTCAACTCAAAATAATAATTATAATAAATATATAAACTCAGATGTAACATTTCTTTGTATGAACAATGTTGGACGAAGTGTTTTCCTATATCCAACATTGAACTATCCAATTGATATATATGATATGGTGACAGCAATAAAGAAAATAAAAAAACTAAATAAAAACACAACATGAAAACCTGCCAAACTATACATTTACAGAAACACACACATCTACACATGACCAGATCTTGTAATCTAAATATTTTTCTATATTATTCTACAATTCCTCTACAATTCAATTCAACATAAGTAGGAAGGTCAGGTGAACTTCAAGTTTCAACCCATGTGGTCATTTTGAGTTTGCCAGTGTATTTACCATGGTCACACATCAGGAGAGGACAGACCAGTGACAGAGGGAAACATTTCAATGGCACATTGAACATCATGACTGATAAGAAAGCCACAACACAAGAGCAGGCACAGAATAGCCACACATACAGTACCTTTATGCTCAGCTCACAGATATGACCTATGCAGTAACACACTCTGCTGCTCTTGCATTTGTATATGGAGTCCTAAATCTATTATTATTGATGTCTTGACCTTTAAATGTAAAGTGCCTTGAGATAATGTAAATTATGAATTGGCGCTATATAAATAAAATTGAATTGAATTGAATGTGCCTTTTAATTGTATTCGTAACTCATAATTTGGGATTGCATTTTAAAAGAATGTTATCCTTTGGCTGAGGACTTTTCGGTGTGCCTCTGCCTTTTATTCAATCAAATCATCTTATACAGCACTGTAACGCTGGCTCATTTAACTCTCTAATTTCTATCTGAATGGTTTATGCTGCTTTATCATTTTATCTTGACGCTTTTTATCCTGCTCTTGAAACATGCTACACCAATGAGCTTGCCTTGCCACACCGTGGAATTTAGTATCTGTGCCTCCATGATTTGTTTCCAGACTGTACAAGAATCACAGCATTTTGGAGGAAAACTTGTGTTACCAGTCCTTTCAAGTCAGATTAACAGTCCTCTGCCATTTTGCACATTACAACAGGACAACAGACCTTCACGTCGCTTCTCTATCTTCCTACTCCAGCTCAGTGCTGCCGCTGTGTGGCTGTGCCAACACAATACAGCCAATTTAAAACCATACATTCTTGTTTTTACACATCACTATGTGGAACCTGAAATTGTGCCATCTTCTGTCTCTCTTACAATTTGATATCAGCATTAAATTACATAATGTAACGCCAACGATTACTGCTTTATTGTCTTATTTTGTTTTCTCTTCCCCAATGGGCACCATCTGCGCTGAAATAAACACTGGCAGTGCAGTCACACCTAAATTAGGTTCTCTTTCACGCCTTTGTTGAACGGGACAAGTTCAGTTTGATCTGCAGTGTCACAAAGCTCTGCGATTTCCAGCTAATAATTAAGAGAAATACTGTGTGTGTGGACAGTGACTTGACAGATGACGTCTGTAAAAAATCTGACAAGACTGTAAATCACAACTTTCTACTGTTTGATGGAAACGAACAAAACATCAGATATCAAATATAATAATATATATTAAATTCCATCTGTAGATGATGATCATGCAATATGATGAAAGCTAATAATCCTTACTAATACCAAATGGGACCTCACGATGTAATTTACTTGTCAGCAGACATTTTTTTGAGATCAACAATAAAAAATCCCCTGTCCCATTTCATATATTCTCCACATTAATAGAGGAAAATAAAAACAACCCCAGGTCTGTCTTCAGCACTGCAGCCAGGCTGACAAGAGTCCCACCTCCGTTCAACCCAGTATCCCTCCTTCCCTGAATAGCAATATCTTTATGACCTTCTTTAATGACAAGATTCACTCGACATTAATACACAATCAAGCACAGAAACCTCAGAAACAGCTACCAATTACTTAGACAGCTTCTCTCTGATCACCCTTGATCAGCGCACCACAACAATCTTATCCCCTAAACCCACAACTTGTATCTTATCCTATCTATCTATCTATCATCATCAGGATATGTACCACAGTCCTTTAAGATAGCCGTAATCAAACCCCTTTTCGAAGACCCACCCTGGACCCTAAGGTTGTAGTCAACTACAGACCAATATCCAGTTTCACCTCCCTGTCTAAAATCCTTGAGAAGGTTGTAGCCAATCAGCTGTGTGAGTTTCTCCAGGAAAGTAATGTATATGAAGACCTTCAGTCAGGGTTTAGAGCTAATCATAACACGGAGGCAACCTTGGCAAAAGTCACTAATGATCTTCTAATAGCCTGAGATCAAGGGTTTGTGTCAGTGCTTGTCCTGTTAGACCTTAGTGCAGCATTCAACACTATTGATCATCACATTTTATTACAGAGATTAGAACAGCTAATTGGCTTTAAAGGAACCGCCCTAAACTGGTTTGAATCCTATTTTTCAGATCGATTCCAATTTGTGCGAATTAATGACGAATCATCGGTGCGCACCAAAGTTAACCACGGTGTTCCACAGGGTTCTGTGCTCGGCTCAATTTTATTCTCATTATATATGCTTCCACTAGGAAACATTATCAGGACTCACTCTGTATATTTCGACTGCTATGCAGATGACACCCACTTATACTTATCAATAAAACCAAACAGTGTAATCAATTAACTAAACTTCAAGCTTATCTCAGGGACATAAAAACCTGGATGAACCACAATTTTCCATTAAACTCCGATAAAACAGAGGTTCTAATACTTGGCCCTAAACACCTAAAAGATACATCACTAGTGATATAGCTGTACTAGATGACATTGCTCATGCTTCCAATGAAACAGTCAGGAAATTGAGCCACATGGAGCTTCTCTTTTCTCTTCTCCCTCCTTATCACATCAAATAAATTAATGTCTCAATACATGTTACTGACTTGACTTGTCCCCGGAGTCCCTGTGCCATATCGTTCACAGATCCACGGCTGTGGCCACATCGTGGATTATGATGGTGGATCGTGAATCAGAGATTGTGATCATAATGGCAGATCTTGTATCGTGCTGGCATCTGATTGTAGTGGTGGACCATGAATAAGCAGCTGATGGTGGATCATGATGGCGGCAGTGGAGCATGATGATGGATTATAATGGTGGATCTTGATCGTGGTGGCAGCTGATGTTGGACTATGGTTACAACAAGACTACTTGACATACAATATGTCTCCTCAGATACTCGACCATTACTGACAATAATTTCAGCTCTGTCGTCTGATCCATCCAGTGAGAAAATAATAAAAAGATAACTGAACTTGACTCAAGATTTTTTCTTTTTGTCAAAGATATAAATCAGTTAAAAAGATGATCTTGATACTTTCACCAGAAAACATCTCATATTTTTACATGATGGTCACCTTTAAACAAAGATACTTTTGCAGCAACTAACTAAAACCAGTCTGTAAATATATGGAGGTAACATTTTATTGAAAAGGACTCAGTTATACACAAAAACATCCGAATGTGTGTGAACCACTTCACTGTGTTTGAAGGCAAATACTCAATGTAATCCAGAACAGGGGTTTGGTTAGAGATAAATATATGAATTCCGTGGATGAAACTCCATTGAGCTGCACATCATCTTAGCAGCTCAGAATGTCACCACCTTAGTCTGTTTGGGTTTGGTTTTCTTCACTGGAACATGTACTTCCTCGTGGTCTGCGCTCATGTTGTTGGACAACCAGCCCACTGTCACAGAGTTGGCTGCAAAAACACAGGGGGGAGATATCATGAAGAGTGATGGCGCTCACCCTTGTTTACCTGCAATGATCTGATCTCACGAATGAAGCCAAATTGTTTTAGGCTCACTAAAGCGGAAGAAAACAAGTGATGTGCTCCTCAGTGTGCAGACCCAGAGATAAGCTACCAGCACCACTGAGACCATTCAGTGTGTGGGATTTAATGATATCTAATGGTTAGGGGGTGTACAGTGAAACCACCTAAATACCACAACCCATCATCCTCCATCTTCTGAGCTTGTAAGAAAAGCCAAGTTCCCTCTGTCCTGGTGACTCCTCTTTCATGGAAAAAAAAAGCCCAATGTCACAGTCCATCTCTTATTTAGGTGCAGACAGACTTTAAGAGAAAGTTTAACGCATTCAGTTTGTTTAGTATGTGTCACTAAATATATGTACTTGTTCAATTTATTTATTTATGTATGCTTATTTAGCTTTTTTCCAATATCCATATCAATGTAATCAATGTAGTTTCCTTATAATGTCACCACATTTAACCTGAGTCACTTCACGATTCCAAACTTAATAGGCTTAGAGGAGAAGCATCCAAACAAACATTGGATGGACTGAAATCCAACTTCTTGACTTTTTAAATCGATTTTTACGTAAATATTTTATGCCAAACTTTTTAGATCTTGGTGCTTTTTAACTATATATTCTTACAGTATTAAGAATTTTTGACATCAGACTACTGAATCTTAAGTTATTAAGTCAATAAGCGAGCAAACATTAGCAGCAGTTTGGCTCGCAGCCCCTCAAAGACGTCCTGTGTACACCGACCAGCGTCTGAGAAAGACAGATTTTTAATGTAGAGCTGCTTTATTCTGTATTTTTACTGGATTGAATCAGTGGGTCAGTTTGTTTTGGAAAGAAACATCTCCCATGATCCCATGCAACCAAACCCTGTCCTAAGGGGACCCCTAGTGGCAGAGAGTTAAATGTGTGTTTAAACAAGAAAGGGAACTATAATCCAGCACACTGAGGATGTTTGTATTCCTGTTACCTTCACGTAAACCTGTTTACATTCAGCTGAAACGTTGAAACTGATACTCAGCAGCATGCACACTGGTTGAGGAGCAGGCAGACAGACAGTAGGGACTCACTTGCAGCCTGGTGCTCCGGACAGTCCTTCTGAAAATGTTCCACTGAACCACAAACACGACAGGAGCCTCCTGCACGCACACACACAAACCATTGTTTAAATGAGCAGAAAATATATGATCGTACAGAGATTGTTAAAGTGCAGTGACGGTCTGTACCTTGTGCATACAGTCCTTTAGGATTATCTGGGCAGGATCGTGACAAGTGTCCAGTCTGACCGCAGATGAAGCACTTTGCATACGGGTAATCGCCTGAGAGAAACACCATGTTACACAGTTTAAGCATGTTAACCCTCTGAAAGCTGACATCCCACTAGCGGCCCCAAATGGGGTGCGGGAAATTGCTCAAATTGGGTACATGACCCTATTTAAAGTTAAGATCATATTAGCTAAAACACCATAATAGTTAGAGCTTTCACTTTTTTGCAACAGAAAGCCAAGACCTCTTTCTTCGTATTGGATTTGGCTGCAATGCTGTTTACCCCTGAAACTCCCAAAGCGTTTTTAAGACTCAAACTCTGCATAGTGGTGAGTAGAGAATGAGTCAATTATAATTTTTGGGTGAACTATCCCCTTAAACATGACACAGTAAAGGTGTTTTATGTAGAACGTGTGTTTGATCTTATTTTGTTCAAATAAATAATGGAATGTTAACAAATTGTTCATGATTCTATACATGTTTTATGTTTTTATATCCTCACCCAGAGCCGGGTCCACTTTAGCTTTACATTTGTGGATTTCATGTTCAGTGGAGCCACAGCGATAGCAAATGCCTCGGCCCATCTCCTCGTCTCTGTCGGCCTCTGGACAGTCTGCCAAACCGTGACCTGGCTTCCTGCAGTTAAAACACATCTGAGGAGAGATAAACAGCGTCAGAGGAGAGAGAGAGGATCATCTGAGAAAATACACACATTGGGTACTGATCAATCTTTTGATATCAGGATCAGATCTTTTAGCTTATAGTGCATCTGTGAGCTGTTCTGCTTCTTTCTCACTGCTCTCATAGCATCATATTCAGCTAGGGATGCACCAATACCACTTTTTTCAGACCAACTACAAGTACATACATTTAGATACTTGCCAATACTGAGTACCAATATGAGTACTGAATAATGCCATTACAATTCTAACAATGACTTTGAAAGCATTTCATTTTTATCAGATGTTTCTTTCTGACTGTTACAAAGGAAATATACAACATGATGCTGTTGCTGACATTAACATTCACCTTTGTATTTTCTTGAAAATACCATGGCACTGTCACACATTTCACTTAATGTCACCTGTAACCCATTCAGTGGATTTCATTACCACACAACATACAATTGTTGCAGAACAACTGGAATTATAGTGCTGTCTTTGAGGACTAAGCCTTTTTCTGGATCAACTTTGTTTTCCTGAACACATTCATCGGATTTCAGTACCACACAACATACAACTCCTGAATGGAGCACAACAACTGACATGATAGTGCTGTCTCTGAGGACTAAGCCTTTTTTGGAAGAGTGAAAGGGAAGAGTCTTTTTGATGAAAAGAAGCTTCTCTGCATTATCGGCTGTGAGCCTGTTTCTGTGTTCGTCGACAATATGTGACACTGAGCTAAACAGCCTTTCACTTTCCTCACTACTGCATGGTGCAGAGAGGTATCTGCATGACATTTGTGTTGAGAGTGGGAAACTGCACTTTGTTAACCCCCCAGTACTGCAGTGGTTTGTTTTCCTGAGAAGCTGTGGTCTCTCCTGAATAGCAGCACCCACTGGTGCACTGCTCACTGATGTTGATGCTTGCTCTTCTTCTATCTCTTCAAACACACTGTCTAGACTGCTGCTGGGCCTTGTGTAGCTTTCTGGCAGGTGTTTCCCTCAGATCCTCCTGCTTGTCTGCCTGTAGAGTGGGTTTTTTTCCTCTGTGTCAGTGAAGTTTCTCTTGACTGCTGCAGCTAAGGTTCCCCTCATTGTTTTGATGCCATGGTCCGAGTCTCTTTCTTTGGTCAAAAGTCTCTAAAGCACGGTCACGGAAGGAATCACATCTGATGCCAAAGCATCAGAGGAGCTCACCATTTGGGTTAACTCCTGCCACCGCATCTGCAACACTTCTCTGAGCCAGAAGACCCTTGTTAACAGCCAGATGAAGGGTGTGGGCAACACACGGCAGGCTAGGGAATCCAGCAACACTCATTGCCTCTATACTATATATCTACAAGGGCTGGTCATCAAGAGCAATGAACTGGGTAAGAGCTTCTGTTATTTGTTTTTCAAACGGGTTGCCTCTGGACATTTTGTCTCGCTTTTCCAGCATTTGCTGCAGAGTTGGTTGTTGCTGTTTGCCGCTGCTAGCATTAGCAAACTCCTTGAACTCTGCGTTGTGTTGGTTCTTGAGATGCTTTATAAAATTGCTTGCGTTAAAGGAGCTACTTTTCACCCCTCCTCTTGACAATTTAGCAGAGCATAGTTTGCAGTCTGCTTCACTTTTGTCATCATAGCTTATCTTGAAGTATCTCCAAACTGCTGATGTTGCACCTCCTCCGGCTACCTGCTCAACTGACATGAGGTCGATGTCAAGTTGCCATAAAGTGGTATCGGGTGTGGTTGTATCTGAGTAGTTTTATAATTACTTGAACACGAGCACAAATTCGGACAGAGACCCGATGCTGATATCGGTATCGATGCATCCCTACATTCAGCCTCAGGAAAAAACTGTTAACAGACAAAATAACTGTGAAAGGCTGCTGTTCACGTCCTGTTCATCAGCAAAAAGCAGACAGGCACAGTCATGGAAATCTTGTTCAACATCTCCACAGTCAGCATTTAGAAGTTAAAGAGACAGATATTTCCCTCAGAAAGTAGAAGACCAAAAACAGAGACAAAGGAGAGGGAATACCGATTCATCAATTTGACATAGGTGATAAAAAGTCGGCGTTGTGTTTCCAGCTTCTTTCTTCAGCTGCGAAATGATGCAAATAGTAAACCGTGCAGATTCGTCTAACATGTCAAAAAACAACAACAACATGAAGTTAAGTGACAGTGAATACTGTTCAAATCTGGCACCTGGAGTAAATGGTTTGAAATCACTCACCATGTTGCTCTTTTTATCTGTCTGTCTCTTTATCCTTCTGTCCTCTCTTCTTCGGTCTTTCTTCAAGGCGATTCCTACCTCTTCCCTGAAATCCTGGCCCAGCTCCTTCCCTCCATCATCAGTTTTGGGCAGTGGCTGTCCATTCTGCTGAAGATACTCCAGGAATCCGTTCACATCTTCATTGTTGTAATCCTTCTTCTTGCGGTTCGGTTTTTTCACAGCAAATCCACCAGGCTGAGTCCCCCTTAGGTGGTCACCAGAGCTGCCTGGCTGGCCTCTTCCCCTTGCTCTAAGCTGACTCCATGGAGTGGCCTCTGATGGTTTGTGCTTGTGGACGTTATTGGCTCTCGCCCATCTCGTCATGACTGCACCCTCTGGCTGAGAACAAACAAAGAAACAGAATACATCAAGAGGAACAGTTCACAACAATACTGCAAAGTCAGCAACTTGAAGGAGATTACATTCAATTGCAATGTCTGTTCCGAACCCGTCTGTGCAGAATGGGCTGTTTGCTTGGTCTATATTAATGCTACAGAGCTACTTTTTATCTATTATTCCTTGTCATTAGTGAGTCCTTCTCAAACAGTTCTACTATACTGTCACTTCTTAATGTCTGCATGCTGGACACTATGTAGAGCTTTTTTATAAACAATCTACGGTGCTGATAAAAAGTTATTGTTTATCCTACCTCTTAATCTGCAATGAAGATTTATAGTAAATTTTCTTTATAAAATTTAAATTAATTTAAGGGTCACAAGCTGTAACACCCTCTGGTGTAAGTAATAGACAAACTGTTGGATGTCTGCAGATACTGTTTGAATCAACTTTCAAAACTGAAGTTATTCACCCATAATCCAAAATTCAAAACAAAGAGTTTTTCATAACACACACACAGATGGACAAAATAAAACAGCTCGACCTCTGAACTTGAAGTGATGTGCTCAGCAGAACTGTCTACAAAAAAGTGTTTGCAGTCACTTCTCTGATTGCTCAACAACAAGACTGCTGTCCATTTAAGGAACAAGTTCAGTTTTTAAAATGACTTTTAAACTGTTAGAGGTTTTTAAGTTTACACGTATGATTCACACATTAACAAATTCAATCTACCAGCCGTTTGTACGACGGGAGGATGATAACTACACATATCGAAGCTGGTGTGATTTCTATTTAACACAAGACAGCTGGAGATTATGAATCATTTTTCTCACACAGCAGAGTAAAACGTTCAAAAAAGAACCGTGTCAACTTTACCCTGTGAGGATTTCCGCGTGTTTGGCTTGTCCCGGAAGTGTTTGCTCTTCTTCTTTGCGTTTGTTCCACGGGTTGAAAAATCATCTGCAGTCTGCAGAGCGCCCCCTACTGCCAACAGCGATAACGGTCTGAACCAACGTGGTCAGCTGTGTAAAACAGTTTGGCCGATCTCTATATGTGCTTGATTTCTGTGAATACAAGTCGACATTTCCCCTCCTGCAGCGAACAGACGATGCAAATGCTCTGTTTTTTTGAGAAGGTCGCTGCAAGTAAAGATTTTTTATTTTTCATGGAGATTTTGAGAGTTTCCTTTCACACCAGTAGAACAAATTTTGTATCTATAGATTTAAATATCAATCTTATATCTTAACAGGCTGTTATCTCAAAATGCTCCCAGTGTTATTCCTGTAAGCTGAAGGTTTGATTTATATAGTTCTGATTTATGAAAAGACATATACAAAATCCCTTCTGGAAAGACCTTTAAGATCTAGTTTAACATTTTCCACATTTGCAATTCTTCCAAATACCTCTGTATCTCAAACTTTTACTACAGTGTTGTACTTTCATAAAAATGTATCCTTAGTTACTTTCACTACAACTACTGTTGAAGTTTCAGTCAATAATCATTCATCATAAAAACTGTTGATCGCACTTGCACTCAGGTAAATATTCACAGTACAAGTAGATGTAGATGAAGAACTTAACTGAAGTACAGTACTTGAGTAAATGTATTCAATTGGTTCAGCTGCATAGAAGTTGTGTTGTCACACAGTCAAATTCAATACAAACTGAGGCACTCAGGTGTATAAGGATAGAACTTGTCTGGACGCATCAGCTTGTGGGCTCCAACAATAAACCAAAGTCAATGCATTGTATATCTTTGAGTCCGGTGATCCATTTATTTGCATCACAACACTGTTAAAGTTGCTTATCATCAACATTATTGTCTTTACCTTATCACAGGCAAGAATCAGTCCATATTTCAAATCATCAACATCCAGTTTCCATTCAGTAAACACATACTGTAGCGTACTGACACTGTCAAAAATCTGTGTACTACCCCAATGTTCAAATACTGTATTACATATGGTCACCAGAGTACAGCATAAACATAAAGTAAAATCAAAAACTATATTGCGGATCCAACCGAGGTATAAATGTAATATTTGGATTCCAAGGTAAAACACAAGTACCTCAGAACTGTACTTCATTACAGAGCAATTGTGAATAAGTAGTTGTTGATTGCCCTAACAACAGGGCTGAGGCTCACAGGAATAAATGAGGCTGCAGCTCACAGGTGCTCTGACTTACTGTGATAATGATGGAGCAGAGCTGCTCAGTCGTGTTCAGTCTGCTTCTCGCTGCACTTGTATTTGTAGAAAACCCTAAAGATGGTAAGATATTGCAGCGTGGGCAGCTGCTTTTTGACTTTTATTGTGTAAAATCGAATGTGTGATTTTTGTCTTATCTGCTGGATTTCAGTCAACTCCAGTCCTGTTCCTGAAGCCAGTCAAGGTAAAAATGTGTTGTAATTCAATCACTGTGTTGGTCTTTGTGAGTTTTTCTGTTTCCTTGACGTGAACATGTTACAGCACTTCAAGAAGACTGGCTCATCACAGCATTGCTTTATATGGAGTCTAACCCAGAGACATTACAAGGTGAGCCCAGACTGTCACAATGCTGACCTGCCACTCTGAATGAGTGCTTTATACATTTTTTTTTGGCAATTTGTGGATCTCACAGACTAAACTATGCCCATAGATTTAGATGACATGAATATAAACAGTTAAACAACTGGAGCAATTTTTACAATCGGGTAAAATCAGAGATCACTGGAAAAAATATTATATGTAACTGACTTGTGACTTTTCCAGACTCCCAAAGCAAAGTTAATCAAACAATTAAAAATAATCCACTGTAGTTTTTGAGTTTTTCAATATTTTCATGACTCATTTAATGAAAAACTAACTCTGTTAAATCATAGACTTTCCACTTTGAATAACATGGACCACACTAACTGCTTTAAAATATATTCTTGAGTTGGCCAAGGTCCACAGCCATCATAAATATAAAAGTACAGTGACTTAAAAAACTAGCTGATAAGAAAAGGCTCCAAGAAAGAAGGATAATTTGCATTATTGTATTTTTTCCTTACCCTCATTCTCACAGAGCTGCTGTCGAAGAACTATGCAGTGTTGGAGGGTGACATGATGTTGTCGGTGAGTGAATCTGTCACATAGTCTGTTATGTAGCATGTTGCATGTCTATGAGCCCTTTG